GGCATGTTTTACAATGATATCCAAATTTTCCATGTTTACCCATTTGTCTGTGTAAAACGTCTGGCATTTTAAAGTTACACTCAGTATCGTTCACTGTCTTCTTGTTTCTAAATGCCTGACTCCCTGAAAGAGTAAAACAAGTCTCTGTTGAGTGGGTTGTTAGAATGGTCCTTGCTTTATTTTCATAGATGAGGTGGTGTTTTTACAGAGAACATTTCGTGAACAGAAATTGAGTACTTGAAATAAATGTGAAGAAAAGCTGGAGATACTGGTCAGAATTGGTTTCACTTCTGAGTTCCTATTGCTCAGGCCAGAATGCTCCTGAGTAAGTATTTAACTTCAGTCTGTTGGTAGGTGGGTGCATTGAGTGATCTAGCCCCAACTCCCTACTAGCAGTTTCTGTTGCTGTAAAGCAAAAGAAAATGTGAAAGTTTAGGGTTGTGTTATAACTTGTGGGTGTGCCTTACATGGGGAAACTAGATACGCATAAGAGAAACAAATCTAATACTCAGGGCCAGTTGCGTCCTTCTCAGTGTTTCCATGTTTGTACTTTAAAGGCCAGACAAAACAAAGATGAATTTTGGTTGTATACTTCAGTGTATTGAAAGAAAAAAAAAAAGAACAGTAAGCTATGGACGAATGTTTTTGTCAGTTGAATTCAGAGAGAAATCAAGTAAAATACTGTACTGATGTCCATGGTCTGCTCAGAAAACAGGAAGTTAGTGATTTAGAGCTACTTTGGCTCTTGTTATTTGATCCAGTGGGTGCTTATCAGCTCACTGATTCACTTTTCTGCTGGTCCTGTCTGACCTTTTGAAGATGCAATTCCAACTCAGCTCTTGTGTGATCTAATTCCCCTCTCCCCAGTCAGCTCGGCACTGCCCAGCGTTGTTTTGCTTAGATTCTAATTCCTGCGGGCATTATACTCTTGGAACAGAAGTTATGGTCAGTTAAGGTACTGTGCTGTATAATCCTTTTGCAGTAGATTCCAGTACTGAGAACATGTAGGAAATAAAGGAAAGGAGTTGAACGTGATCTTGCAGTTCTCTTTTCCTGTGACCTCTGATGTGTCTCTAGGAACTTCAGGCACAAGAGCAGAAACCATTGAATATAAGGGGAAAAGTTGCTTGCATGTAACAACAAATATAGATGGGATGACTTAAATAGGATGCAAGGTACTAGGTATAGGTCATTGTGAAGTGCTGATTTTCAGTAGGTTGAGTAATGCAGTACCTTTCCCTTTCCCTTTGCATGTCAGAGGATAACCAGAGCTGTCTGAAAACCGGACTCAGCTACAAAGAAACGAGATGGGGGTGAAAGTTTTGGGTGAGCCCAGCAAGGGTGGGGAGCTTGCTTCCCGTGTTGGGAGCAGCACAGATAATCTGTTTGGGTTGGGGGAGAAAAGCTTTGCTTTACATTCTTCTGCAATTTCTCAGTGATTTTTAACTAGGATGCTGTTCTCTGAAAGAGACCCTGAAAGAGAATTATTCACGATCCAAGACTTTTCTCGATCTTGGGTTGGACGCTGGGCTGTCAGCATATGTATTAAGGGAACCGTACTGTTAAGTCTCATACAACACTGGAAAATATTCATGTATTGATAGTCCACTGCAAAGTTTCTCCTACATCCAGGAATTGCAGCAAATGTTTGTCATTGAAGTGATATTCAATAAATGTATTTTCCTTTTAATGTAGCTCAGCACTGAAATATCAAAGAAGGCAGCCCGTATTCCGATACAAGCCAGCTTTCTATGCCACAGTTGAGAACTGCAAATGTTATTGGAAAGGTTTAATCACGTGAAATGAATGTTCTAAAAGTACTTATTAATTCTTTCCAGCCATTGTTTATAAGCTGCATGTCAAATACATCTATCCTAAACATTTGAGTTAATTTAGGGGAGCATTTTAACTAGTCATCTGAGTGTTACAATATTTTTAAAAAATACTATAAACCAGAAGATTCATAATAAAATAAAAACCTTTGTGTCTGCATAGATAACTTGTGCATATTTCAATTCCTTTAAGAGGTATAGAAGCTGCTGTAGTTCTTGTTTGTTTATTGTTCACTGTGCATGGTTGTAGAAGACTTAATTATCAGGTATTACATCATAGTCTTTCAAATAATCTCTGATACCTTTCATATGGCAATTTCTTTCCTGTTATGCTTGCTTCTTTCTTTGAAACATACTTAGAAAAACTTCTTTAAACAAGTCCTTAACCATTATTTGTGGTATCACCAGTGCTGCAACTGTTGCAGTGTTTGAAACTGAAGAGGGAGAGGCAGGTTATAGTGAAAGAAGGGTGAAAGGGTTTGATTCAACCCCTGACACTTCGAGCCTTCAAAACTACAAGGCTCTAAGTGAACAGAGTGGTAGAGGTGAAAATTGTGAAATTTTCTCTTCTGTCCATGTAGAGAAGGAAGTACTGTCTCAGGTGTTTTTCCAAAGGAATAATGAATATATGCTTGAATATAAAAACGTTGAACTAAAATTCTCATAAATACTTAAAATGGCCTCTAAATTCTGTTTTGACATTAGTTAAGATCACACCAAAGTATTTTGGTCCAGGGTTTCTTCTTGTACATACGCCTAGCTCTTGCTCTCTCCGTTCTCATAATGTCTGTTGGATACCTGGAGAATACACAGGCATCAATGTGATGCTTGATCTGAAAAGTGTTACAATAATTAGCTTGTTATAGTCTGGAAAAGGGTGGGTGTATCTTTTGATTTTGGTTAGCAGCTAGAGATGCAGGGAACCCAAACAGTCTTTGTAGGAGCCATTGTTATCTGTATAATTACACTTTCAAGAAAAAATGTAGAATTTTTGTTCTTTTCCAGAAGCTGTGTATCTGCTAGTTAGTTTTTTTTTTTTCTTTTTCAAAGGACCTTTCTGTATATTTCCTGTGATTTATTTTTTTCCTGGCTTATTTGGAGAGCTTTTATATTTCACCTACTAAAGGTTTTTGTTCAGCTAATAAACTTTTTGCCTAATCTATTCTGATTTAAGTTTCTACAACTTGTTCTCCTATGAGTCTTTTTCTGTCTTATTTTCTACGGTCTTCTCTTAGTATTGCTTATGTTGGTGGTGTTGAGAAGTCGCACAAAGATTTGTATGGAGTCAGGTATTACTGCCCTTCAAATAGAGTTGGCAGGCTTTGTAGAAAAGGAAAAGGTGAAAAAAAAACACACACGCTTTATTTTCACTTATGCATTGCATCCAAGGTGCAGGAAAAAAAAAGCAGAAATTTTCAGTGCTATCCTGCAAGTAAATAATTCTGGGATTAATAGGGTTAACTTCTCTAGACTGCTCTGAGTAGTCTAACCTAAATGATGTGCTCTAAGTTGTGTGACATACTGAGAATGAACCTCTGATCTGCTGAGTCTGATCGTAACATGCTTGATTTGGGATTCTCTTCATCACTGCTTGAGCATTTTGAGTTCTTACTTCCAGGAATAGAAGATACGATAGGCAAGGATTAGAAGATGGGTTGCTAAAGTATGTGCAGTGGTGGAGGATTAATTTGAGAATAGTTGCAGCTGAGTAAGACATAATAATGGTGTGAATGCTGAAAATTGCACGGTAGCATTTGGCATGAACCTTTTCTTAGTACCAGTTCCACAGCTATCAAAAAGAGAAGAGAGCAGAAAAGAAAATGATACAGAGTGGAGGTCTGCTACTGATTTTATTCTGCGTACGTTCCACAGTATAATCCATTGTATATTGATGAAAACATACTCAAGAAATGATCTCTGGAAAAGCACTTTCCCATGGAGCAGTTTGGTTCTTGGATGTGAATTCTGAGGTTTCAGACTTTCAAGAATGTGTGTAAGTTTTCTGTACTGAGGACTCTTGTCCAAATACTTAATATTTATTTAGGAGAGGTATTTTTTATTGCCAAAAACATCATTTCAGTATTAAAAGCATGGTATCTAATGTAGGTACTTCAGGCAGAGTGGTCAACTATCCAATGCCCATTAGAATAAATGCAACAGGTGGTAACATAAACATATTATCAGAAAAAACTTTTGGTTACACGCAAACCAGAAAAATCTTATTGAAAGATGGTTTACAGAACTGAAAGAAAAGCCAAAATGAAACCTTGTTAAACTAAATTGGCTTGGTCTGATCAAGCAGAGCCAAGACCGATCTTTAAAAGCTTATTTCACTCTTCTCTTTTGCTGAAGAACTCCTTCGAATAAGTAAAAGAATGGCAACCTTATTAAATTTTAATATAGACATATTTTAATAGATTTTAATTTGTGGACAATGCTCTACTTTTCATGTGATAATCATTAACAGGTGGAACCCACAAATTTTAGTGGTGGTGATGCTAGCATACAAATATTTGTAAGCATAAAAATATTTGCAGTAAAAGACTCCGAAGATTTTTTTTCTTCTGTAATATGTAGAATGGAATAGGCTCTGCAATCTTCGTTTTTGGTATTATCAATTAATTTGGTGTGATAGTTTAAAAGACTGCATTGTGCTTGGTGTTGTACAAATGCACTATAAGGAAAGAAATATTGTTCTGAACACTTTACAGTTGAGTTTAATCAAGTCAAAAAAGTGAATGAAGAAATCAATGAAAGGAGGTGGAAAGTCAGTGATGCAGGTGCATGGATGGTTACTGTACTATTACATTTCTGCTGGTACAGGTGCTTGGAGGAGAGTACGTTGAATAAGCTATTCCATGGTGTGGGTATATCTGATTTGTAGATAGTAGGAAGGTATTGCAGCAGAGATGGAGCAAATATCAACGTAATTCTGGCCATGGTAATGCTACAGTTTCATGAACAGAAATAGAACAAGGTAAAACTCAAACCTGCGCTAATTTTAAATGATAGCATCATGTTCTTAGTCTCTTCACTTTCTGATTTCTGAACTGTGGACTTTTCTAGAACATCAGCCTCCTTAGAAGTGAGAAGGGTTTGATGTGGCTTTATGCTTGTGACCTGCTTGTGTGCAATTAATTTTTTTCTTTCTTGCTCTTCCATCAATAGGTGACAAAGAAAGTCAAGTCTATGCAGATGTTCCACACTCCTGTGACTTACGCTATGCAGGGTGACAGAGTAGGCATCTGTGTGACCCAGTTTGATCCCAAGCTACTGGAACGAGGGCTGGTTTGTACCCCAGAATCACTTCACACCATCCATGCTGCAATAATTTCCCTGAAGAAAATCCAGTATTTTCGAGGAGCTCTTCAGACCAAGGCTAAGTTCCATATCACTGTTGGTCATGAAACAGTCATGGGAAGAGTGATGTTTTTCAGTCCAGCTCCTGCTGACTTCAATGAAGAAATTCAAGAGAATGCTTTTGATTTTGAAAAAGATTATCTTTATCAAGAGGAAGTATTTGTCCAAGGACTCAAAATCTTCAGAGGAGAACAAAGAAAATGACCAATCTGGAGAAGTCCAGCTACCAAGACAACAGTGGGCTTTGCTGGAGTTTGAAAAACCCGTCACCTGCCCTAAACTGTGCCTTGTGATCGGCTCCAAGCTGGATACAGATATTCACGCAAACACCTGCAGATTGGCATTCCATGGGGTACTGCTTCAAGGCATGGAAGACAAGAACTACATAGAGACTTTCCTTCCAAAGCTGAAAGTGTACAAGCTGAAGCACAAAGAAGGACAAGTGGAAAGGGTAAGCTGTTTTTTTGATGCTTTACATGGGAGAGGGGAAATCTTTGTTCTGAGTTGCATATATTGGTGTGCAACAGAATTTTCACCACTATATTCCAGGGTCCTTCATATACATTTTCTTATGTTTGTATACTTAATATATTATATATTTCCTGTTTGCGATGAGTCAGAGATGATTGCTTAGAAGTGACAAGTTTATTTAGGTCAATACAGTGTTAAGTAACTCGATACTGTTTTTTCATTGATCCTTTTGATGGTCTAGCCATTGTGTTCTTCCTGCAAACTTGCCTTGTTTGTGTGCCTTCCTAAGTGGGTCATCTGTTCTTTTCAACATAACATATATAGCGGTTGACAAAACTTCCAGCTTTCCACTGATGTGTTTAACACAGTCTGCAGTACATTAAAATGTAAAGATGTATGTCTTCAGATAGAGATGTATGATATATAAATTGAATTGCTTACCCCTAAATGTGCATAGTTGAAAATTTTAGTAAGTGTTTACTTGATAAGTTGGTGTGCTAGGTGTTTTATGAACATCTGGGTAAAGAACTATTAATTTTTATTTTCTTAATCCAAAAGTTGGTTTATTTGAACAAAACATTTAGCATTTTTGCTGCTGCTTCTCAGAATTCCATTGAAGCTGTTTTGAGTACTGAATAAGGTCTCTACTTACTTCACTACAGGAGACTAAACACTCGTCAACATAGCTCGCTATGTTTGCAATTTATAGTGTAGGCTTCTTGAGTACTTCGATGTTTGTTTTACTAACTTAATAGTAAAAAATAAATGAAGTTCCTTCCAAGGGCATGATTATGCATTAGTGAGATTCCTTTTCCTAAATGCCTCGCTGTATTAATGAAATAGGCAATTCATATTTCTGCCCCTTTCTCTCAGAGGCTTCTGTGTTGGTTTTGCTTTTCCAGAGTTTCTCCTTTGTGTTTCCACTAATGACTTCAGAGGCCATTCTTTGCAAAGGAACTAGAGGACTTTGTGGTGGTGTTTGCTGGTTGTTTTTATGCAAATTATGTCAGTAGGAAGGTAGTGAACAAGAGGGTATCTAACCTTCTGAAAAACTTGTCTTTATGATGAGTCAACAGTCACTCTTCAGAACTGTTCGGTGTTTTGTGTCTTTCCTTTGTTTGAAATGGTCAGCTACCTTTCTTTTTGCCTGATGGTGATGTTGAACTACAATATGGAGTCCAAAATAGTTTGTCTTCTAATCTGCAGAGAAGGTTAGACCAAAAGTGGATGTCTGGATACCAATTCTGCTCATTTTCATCTTCTCACATTTTATTCTTCTGATGCTCTAATGCTATCCAAACTCATTAAACATTTGCCATTACCTCCACTAAAAATTTACTTGCTTGTGCAGGGCCCATGCTGCTAAAATCCCAAGATGCCTGGCTTACTAAGTCCTTTTGTTTCTCTGTGGCTGTTAGGAATATGAATGAGAACAAAAGGTTTTGTGACCCCCAGAGACGCATGGCGTTTGATTTTTTGTTTAACTGAAATGAACTGGTCTCAGCTTCTCTCTTTATTTTTGCTCCAATGCGTGGCACTTGCGTATGGGCGTTGAAAACTTGCAGAGTGCCAAGTGTGAGAATGTAAATTGTCTGACTGAAGTAACTGGCTCTGCAGAGAGCCTTGGCCATTATTTTATTTTTTTTTTATTTTTTATTTAATGGTATTTTTAAGTGCTTTGCTGGTTTACTTGTTCTGCTATTGATTTTACTGTGTAAATAACAGAATAACGTTAATCATATTACTCATATTTGAATTTCTTGTACAGAAAATAACCAATGAATGTAGGGTATTTAATATTTGGCCAGTGCAGTAATTTGCTAGGGTTATATATCAGTGACCTGTTCAGATATAAATCCCAAGCTGGGGAGTTTGTGACATTTGAAGAAGGGATAACAGCGTGCCCCATATATTGGCCTTGATCACTGTCTGTATGAATAGTAATTGGCCCTGTAAATGAACATTTGCCACTGAACCATCAGCCTATCTACGGATTAGGCTTGTTCTCAGGTTCTGGCTCCTGCAGTGCTGCAGATGCTCGGAGTTGGTGTTTTCCCTGATGCCTGCCAAAAGGACAGCGGAGCAAACGCTGCCGCAGCACAAGCTCCTGCTGTGAAGTCGAAGGGGCATGCAGGGACTCGGGAGGGCTGGTGGGAAGAGGATTGGTGCCAGTTAGAGGCCTGCTGGGGAAGTACTTAGGGTAGCTACTACCAAGCCTGTGCTTTCGCAGAGCGGAGAGCAGCAGGAACAATTGGGTGGTACAGCGACTTTTTTTAGTACACAAAGTCACTGGCTAATAGAAAATCTGAATCAGCTGGACCCACCCTGCTGCTGATGGATGGCTGGAGATTAGGATCGCTGAATTTAGGGTGTCTATTCTTGGCACCGATACAGGAAAATTTCATTCTCTCTGTTGAGCAAGGAAGCTCCCCCCACCTCACCTTCCCTGGGGAGGCATTAAGAATAAATAAAAAATCCGAATTACCTTCATGAGAAGTGAACTTTTCTCCCAGAGAATACTGATGGGGAAAACCAGCTTCAGAGCTTCCTGAGAGGCTGGGAGAGAGGAGGCCGGGTGTGTAACGTCTGCCCACCCTGCTGCGGTGGAGTTGGGCCATCGCTGGCTGTGAAGTGCTGCAGCCCATCGGCTGGGGGCTCTCCCAAACCCCCGTTTGTCGCTAGAATTGGAATAAATTCCCTGCAGTTTAACCACTGGTTTGCCCAGGAGAAATCAGGCATTTACAGTTTATCTTTTTGTTTCTGTTGGGATTAATTTCAGAGCAATGATGGAGCAGTAAGAATCATGAATTCATTAAGTTTCGGCTTCACAGTGCTTTTTGTGTCTCCTGTGCACAGCACCCCCTAGGTTTTAAGGTTTATTTTCTTAACAAAAGAAGGATATTTATTTCCAAAGATGTTTTTTGGGTCCTCTAAGAGCAACTTTGACATTGCTGTTGTTTCAAATGGAATTCAGATCCATGAACTAGATAAACACCATATTTTTAAAAAGTCCAAATCATACATAAACTAGCCAATGGCCTTGAATTAGTACATTTTATTGGAAACATATGCAGAAGCTCCCTGGATTTTCTTATCTGCTCCACTGGTGGCAAATGTTCTACAAAAATGAAAGTACCCTTCCACTTCTTTTGCACTGCTCCCTTGCCTTTTCGTATCTTGCCTCTCTAACACTGAGCACTGGGACAAAAAGTATGACAGCCCACGGGGATCTTGAAATCTACCTCTTTGCAGCGTATCCTTGAGCCTCCCTCTCATATTTTTGTTCATTTTTGCACTAACTGAAGGGTTTTTAGGTATTTTACTGTAGTATCGGAGAATATTGGCTTCAAAATATTTATTGTTAGTGCTGTCTGAGGCCCTGCATGGTGTAGAAAGCATGCTCTAACCAAGACAGGGCATTTTTGGGGTCTGCACCCATGCTGGAATTACATTTTGGTTATGAAGGAGTCATGCAATTCAAACTAGGGTTGTGATTGTGCTTGATGCAATTAAACTGTTGCAGAAATGTGTGGATGGTTGTGTTTTGCTTTAATACAGATTTGTTTTGGGGTCAGAGTAAATCTTTAGGGATTAGCATTAAGGAAAATCAGAAGAGGGCCTTTGCAAAGGTTCATATTTGCTTAACTTGATTTTAAAATTATATGAAACACTAGTCCAGCTTGCTCATGCAGAGAGGACTTGAGAGGGAAGAAGTACAGTGGAAGGAAGTTTCTGTCAAGAGTGCTTTCTTGCATGGTTATGTGGAGGCAGGCTGTGGCCCTCTGGGTACTTTCTTTTGCAAAACCTTGGCTGCCTGACAAATGTATTTTAAATAGGAAAAAGTGCTAGGCTGGCAACAAGTGGCTTGTACTGATTTAGAAAAAAAAAAAGTGAAAGCAGAGCTGGGAGTGCTATTGTGAACACCAGCGTTGCTTTAAGGATAGTGATGTGGGAGTCTTGGCGGAAAAAATGCAGCAAATGAGATGCTGTGAAGAAAGTTTGGCCATGGAATGGTGGTCGTGAGGGTGGGCTTGCTAAGCTGTAGCAGGTCAGCAGCCCCCGGAGTCAGACAAGCAAATTATGAAGATAAACAGTGTCTGTTGTCCTTGGTCGTGTGCCTCTGGAGACAGGCTGCTCACGTACCAGCCCTGGTCTGTTTTGCGGGGGAGACTTGTGTTAATCCCAACCATCTCTCAAACATCTTCCTCTGATTTTTTCTTTTACTTTTTTACCTCGAAGCAGCATCACAGCTTAATTCCAGCGTGACTCACGAAGCAGTTACTCAGTTCCTGGGATAAATCCTTTATGTTTATCATATTATTTGCTCTCTGGCTTCCATGGACATGCAGGTTGAATGCAGTGAATTTCAACTGAAAAGTGAGCTGTACAAGTGCATCATGCTTTCCTGCATGACTCAGAGATTCTGCCTGTTTTGAGAAGTGTTTGCACAAGCAGGATTTATCTTAGGATGGTTGTTGCAGGGTCCTATTGTTAAGGATGCTCGTAAATCAGTAGTTCTTGGGGAGAAACAAAAAGAGAAGGAAAACTCTGCCTTGTTTGCAGAGCACAAGCTGCACCTTATGCACTTCCAAGCTTGTTAAGTGAAAATAAATGCAAACCTCAATTGTGATTTTTTCCCATTTCAAGCATAACAATGTTTTCTTCTACTAGAATGGGCTTGTCCTTCCTAAAGATGTTTTTTTCTATATTCATCTGACATTAAGAAGAATGAATTCTCTGTGTACTTCACTGTTCTCATGTATTTTCTTCACTATTTGCCTTGCTTTTAGGCTGTGCTTACTTGATGGTAATCAAGTTGCACTTTGTTTCTTCAGCAGTTTCCTTTCATGTGTCATGGCCATGGGCTGTCCTAGTTCTTATTCACAGCCGCGCTGTTCCTGAGTTTTGTGGGTTGCTGGACAGTGAATTTTCTTATTTTCTTCTCATGGGGACTGGGGCCATCATGTAGCTAGCATGCTC